GCCCAGCAGCCGAAGACAGGACAGATCTCCAACCCAGCTTGGATGAGGCAGGAGTGGAGGAGCCAGGATCCGTGCATGCAGGGGCTCCGGACAGGGCAGCTGGGCTGGGGGCAGAGGGGACGCGGGCAGCTGGTTGCAGGGCGAGCGGAGGGGCCTGCTGCGTCCCAGCTTCTGGGCTTCGCTGGAGGCTGAATTTCCCCCCTCCTGTTGCTGCCAGGGGCTTCATCCCCTTCCTCGGCAGCTCTGGGTGCCAGGTTGGGGCTATGGCTGGGCTGTGCCATTGCTCCTGCTGGGACTCGCCCCCGAGGGCCCTGGCTAGAGGGGCCTGCGCCTGCGCTCTGGCTCAGCCCCATGCTGCCTTGGGACAAGGAGGGGATTTGACCCCTGGTCAGAGCGGTGCAGGCTGGGGGGATTTGCTCATGGTGCCTCCAGGCAATTGGCCTTGTTGTTGTGCCAAGGGGTTGACTGCAGCTTGAGGGCACCCCCATCCCCAGGCAGGCGGCCCGGGGTCCCAGCCCAGAGCCCCCGTGGGGATGGGCAGGCGCCCGCCCGGCTGGTCCTGGCTCTCGGCAGGGCGCAGGGCGGCTGCCTCCTGCCCGGTCCCGGTCCCGGTCCCGGTCCCGGTCCCGGTCCCGGTCCCAGCTGGGCTCTCCTGCAGGACGTGCTGCACCTGGGCGAGGAGCCGGCCTCCGAGCTGTACTACTGCCAGCTGGAGCCGCAGGCCTGCTACGTCTTCACGGAGCAGCTGGGCCGCTTCGCCCTGGTCGGCGAGTCGCTCAGCATGGCGGCCTCCAAGCGCCTCAAGCTGGTGCTCTTCGCGCCCGCCTCCTGCAGCTCCCTGGAGTACAACATCCGCGTGTACTGCCTCAGCGACACCCAGGACGTCCTCAAGGTGCCCGGGCAGGACGGCCGGCGGGCAGCAGGGCGGGGGTGCCTCCAGCTGCTCTGCCCCAGCCCCGCGGGGTAGTGGAGGGTGGGGGCGCTGGGACAGAGGGGTTTTGGAGCAGGTCGCTGAGCCGTGCCCTGGGGGGTGCCCAGCTGACCTGGCACTTGGCCCTGGCAGGAGGTGATCCAGCTGGAGAAGCAGATGGGGGGGCAGCTGATTGGGGCCCCCCGTGTCCTGCACTTCAAGGACAGTTACCACAACCTGCGCCTCTCCATCCACGACATGCCCAGCTCCCTGTGGAAGAGCAAGCTCCTGGCCAGCTACCAGGTAGGGGACCCTGGCCTGGCCTGGGCCGTGGCACTCGCAGGCATTCGGCTGACACGTGGGGAGCCCCCCCGGGCTTGTTTCCCTGGGTCCCTGTGGTGGGGCTTGGCCCGGGGGGGCTTCGTGGCCTGTGGGGGTGGGGGCTGGGAGGTGCGTCCCCAGGGCCAGCGGTGCCCTCCAACAGCGGTCACTGCAGCGCTGCCCGCTGCCCGCAGGAGATCCCCTTCTACCACATCTGGAGTGGGCTGCAGCCCTACCTGCACTGCACCTTCACGCTGGAGCGCCTCAGCCCCAGCACCTGCGAGCTGGCCTGCAAGATCTGGATCTGGCAGGTGGAAGGCGACGGGCAGAGCTTCACCATCAACCTCAACATTGCCAAGGTGCGGGGCGGGAAGCCGGGGCGGGGGCAGGGAGCTGGGGGAGGGGCGAGGGCAATACCCA